TACCAGCGTATAATGGTCAATGCCCCGCTTGACAATTTTTACAGTGATGGCGAATGCTGATTAGTGATGACGACTCACCGAAAATCTCGCTGCGTTGTGACACAGCTTCGTCACAGTTGAGATTCTTTGGCTGTTTTTGAGTAGGCGGATCAACGAACCTTGAAAGTCTATTTGTGCCAAGTTTGCGGAGCAACAGTCGCACTTTCCAGGAGTCGTCCTACGGCTGAAATCCGTTCTGAAGATATCCTTCCAGCGTCTGAACCACGCATCGAAAGTGCTTTCGGAATCAGGATCATAACTGAATACAATAATGGAATTGGAGAGGAGATCAACGGAACTTGCCTGCGTATTTCGCGAAGCTGTTTCTGAAGACTGCAGACTGAGCCGCTGCATCAAAGATTCGATCAGCTTCATTTGTGCAGGTTGTTGCTGTAGGAATTGTTTTGCATAAACATTCAATGCATCATAAGTTTTTCGCCGATATCATTTGTTAGATCTGCCTCTCTATGCGATTCTAATTGAACTGGTCGCGTCCTCTGCTTGCTCCGAATCCTCGTCAATACCTGAGAGCAAAAGCGTGTTGCAGAAACTGCTACCGAAAACGAGTGAAAGCAGTGTGAAAGCGATGGACATTTACAGGTCAATCCAGGAACGTCCACATTACAGCACAGTTAGGTTAGCTGCCCCGATTGATAGTGCAGTTCCACTAGTCAATGGAATGATAGGTAACGCGTGATGCACTGGGCGAGAATGTTCTTGAAACGATTTGACGCTTTGGCTGTACATCACTGGTTCAGATCACTTTCCCATTGAAACAATGACACTTCCCGGGAGATTTCACTTACTCAAGGACACTGTGGAAATACGGTAACATTTATATAAGGCGAAAGTAAAATCATCCAGTAAAGCCTCAGTTTAAACAGCGATAAACATCGTCACTGATAATAAGAGGCGATGAAACTTGACCAGTTGCTAAGACTATATGGGCCTAAAGTGCAAATAGCAAACATCATAACTAGATGATGTGCTGTGGGGTTTCCCAAAACAAGTGGCTCACGACAAGCATTGGATTAAAGCGTGCATCTCGTGAGTCCTTCAAGATGATGGGTATTGCGTTAGGTATAAGAATGTAGTAATTCCGATTAAAAAGTCACCAGGATGAGAACTAAATCTACAGCAGGGTACCAGGAGGGCAGAACCGGTACAATGAACACTCGGTTAAGAAGCTGAGACAAACAGCGATCATTACGGGGATATCCAAAGATGACAGGGTAAGTAAAATATAAAAAACAGAAATAAAAGTTAGAGGAAGTTGGGATACAGTTCAGTTTAGCAGAACAACTATGGTCCGAGCACCGAAGTGCGGTGGACCGAGGTGCACGATTCATATCCCAAGAATAATGATAAATAACGACGGAAAGATAATGGAGTCGAATGCAAATAGAATGTAAAAAAATGGAAGCAAAAAGGTAGTGCGGCAAACTAATCAGAATGGAACGAAAACTAAGAACCAGAAGCAAGAACGCCGCCCTGAGCCATTCTAATACGGTTTCCAACCATAGGTATGAACCATCCCGAGGCCCCCATCCACGAAGAGGGCATGCACCAGCCTGACCAAGCTTCTCAGTTAATTTCTTCATGCCTTTAGGTCATGTCCTCGACTGGCCACCTCGCGGTTTTGCCCAACTTGGTGCAGCCGCGGTTTAAAATGTACGCCAAGAATGGTGGGTAACGGGCATACGGAGAACATGACCTAGCCAACGTAAATGATTAAAATTCAGTAAACACTCGAGTGAGACACCGGAACGCTTCTTGTCAAAACCCAACTAACGGACGTCAGCATTGTTCACCTGGTGTTCTCACCAGACGTGAGGAATACTCCACAAGCATCGGTGGTCAGATACGTCCAAGCGTTTAATGACCTCGCTGGGAACTGGCCAGTTCTCTGATCCATACAGTAAGACCGGCCTTACTGCAGCGTGATACACCCCGCCTTTCACTGACTGGCTGGTATCCCGCCGTCTCCATAGATGGTTGAGTCACTGGAAAGTCACACGGGCCTTGCTGATACGCGAAGTTACACCCTCAGTGATGAGACCACCAGAGATGACACCTCTACCAAGGTAAGTGAACCGATCCACCACTTTCAGTAGCTGTTCGGTGATAGCTAGAACCGAAGGCTTGCCAATCCAATCCTGTGGCAGTACTTTGCACTTTGAAGGTGTAAGGCACAAGCCGAAGCGTGCAGTGCTACGCGCCGATTTATCCAGTAGTGTACGCATAGCCGTTACATCAGACCCAAGAACCTTGCCAACCGCATATTCCAGGTTTGTCAGTCGGTCGCCTGGTAGAAATTCCGCTCCGGTAGAGTCTGAAAGAATGGTCAATCACAATTATCTCGACAACAAAGTTGAAGAGGAAAGGAGATATAGGACTGCTCCCCCCAAAAATCATTATTTCAATGGGAAAACAAGTTGAGCCACTGGTGTACGACCGAAACATCAAGTGGCGTCAGGAAAGTTCGCGTCCAAGCGACGCACCTACTTACCTCCACTGGTTGGCGGAATTGATCTATCAATTGGGACAGCTGTCCTGGCTGTTCTGATACGTGAATCTTCATTGGTTGACTTATAAAAATTCCCGTTAGTTTCACACTATTTGTATCCGTTCGGTAGCTTATTTTGCAACACGCTTTTGCCTCCAAGCGTTGACTTCTGATTTTCGGCCGGGGTTCGGAACTAGCAGAAGATGAGTTCATTTCAACCGAAATCGCGCAGAGGACGGACAAAAGGGGTAATGCAATGAATCCCTCTGCATAAGAATTTCAAACGCTGATACTGAAACAGCAAGAACAAATAGATGCACAAATGAGGCTGGTCGAATCTTTGATGCAGCGGCTCAGTCTGCAGTCTTCAGAAACAGCTTCGCGAAACACGCAGGCAAGTTCCGTTGATCTCCTCTCCAATTCCATTATTGTATTCAGTTATGATCCTGATTCCGAAAGCACTTTCGATGCGTGGTCCAGACGCTGGAAGGATATCTTCAGAACGGATTTCAGCCGTAGGACGACTCCTGGAAAGTGCGACTGTTGCTCCGCAAACTTGGCACAAATAAACTTTCAAGGTTCGTTGATCCGCCTACTCAAAAACAGCCAAAGAATCTCAACTGTGACGAAGCTGTGTCACAACGCAGCGAGATTTTCGGTGAGTCGTCATCACTAATCAGCATTCGCCATCACTGTAAAAATTGTCAAGCGGGGCACTGACGATTATACGCTGGTAAATATAGTCAACCGTGAGTGTGAACGCTTCAAGCTGCGCTCTTTGACGGATGAACAATTCTTGTGGCTCATATTTATCGGTGCCTTACAGTACCCGTAAGATGTCGAGATCCCCACAAGACTACTTTCCAAGTTGGATCAAGACTCAGACACCACCCTGAACTCCCACAAGCTCGAGCGCAAACGGTTGAGGACTGAAACGTGACACTGCTATGGTGGAGAATTCTTCCGCACAATCGCGAAATATCCATGTTGTGACAGGTTCCAGGCGGAACAGGGATGACAGTTACGCCCAGAAGTCACGGAACAGACCGCCTAATGCCTGTTGGTCATACGGTGAGTGGCATTTCGCTCGATACTGCCCATGCAAGAAGCGTACTTGCCAAAAGTGCCAAAATGGGGCTACCGAGGAAGAACTCTATAAGCATTCTCTAGCAGTGAACACAAAAGCGTTCCGTTCCAAAAAGGTGAAAGATACCGTTGTACAATCCATGTCAGTTGTTGCCGTTTTCCAATGAGTTCAAACACCGCAGAGGTTACATTACCGTACTTATCAACAGGATTCCTTCTCCAAGGGCACATGGAACCACATCAAGAGGCCAGTGGTTGTCGCTTCTGACCAAGTGGCACACAACGCATCTGGCGGAGTGCTGAATCTGGCTGGAAAAACTAAGTGCAAACTCGCTTGTAACAGGGTGGAAAAGACCGGAACATGCTGCCTGACGGACCGATCAAATATAAGGTATTCGGAACCGACTGGATCGAGAGGTTAGAACTCTTTGGAGTCCTCCTGACCCAGATTTGTAACCGTTATACGCCGAAGCCTCAAGCACTGAACGGAGTGTCCCCAGCAGAAGCGATGAGCAACAAGCTCCGCAAGCCATCCCATACACTTCGACCAGCTCCTGAGTCCTCATACAGCGGAAGGAACCGAAAAATGGAGCAGGAACTCAATCGGCGACATGGAGCAAAGAGACGTCCACTCAAGCCCCGGAGTGCTAGCAAGCGACAATCGGAAAGGTCATGCAGCATGGACTCCAGGTGAGATCAAACGTAAACCCTGGTGAACCCCACTTGTCGTGGGGAACTCAGAAGATAGTTTCTCGTGAACTCATTCATGGTTTCGAGAGTCACGGCAGAGACTGCATAATGGAAAGGAGTTTAGCAGGCACCCGCTTCATGGGTCGGTAGTACCGCAAGCTAGCGCGGTCAACAAAGTTGAAGATGGCCATCAGGTCAAGGAAAACCATCATAGTCGGTCGTCTGTATGTGTTACTGCACTAAATTTTCGCCAAGAATAAATATGTAGTCGATGCAACCACGACCAAGGCTGGAGCCAACCTGCCTTTCAGTGGTTCGGTTCTCAGAGAAACCAGTAAGTCCTCGGAGAATGATACCTGTGATATCAGTGAGGGGTTTGGATGAAACAGAAAAATCCAAATTAAGGGAGAAAAATCATCTAGAAAGCGGTGAATGGTAAAATTGGCCCTAACATACTCAAATCAATACATTACCCTAACAACCTAGTAAATAGCTATACAGGCTCAACAGTGGCAATAGTTCTATAAAACGCACGTTTCTATGTAGCACTATACAGTCAACATTCAACGAAGCAACAAAAATTAAACAAGCAGCAATAACGAGGCCAAAGAGAATGCGAAATAATGTCCAGAAGTAATAGTGACAGAACGGATGAAGCAGAGATAAACAAAAAACTTACGCAATCTGGAGTTCGTGGACCAAGCATAATGATAGAATATGCGCGAAAAAATTGACGACTGTGAGCAATGAAGCCGAGCTGAAGATATTGCATCTGTTTCAGTAAAAGATGCAACAGGGTTGCTTGCTTATTTTTACGCGTCTCCATGATCAAATCAAGAAGAAGACGATCAGTTAACTTGATGTTCCATCCTGCTCTAACCTTTTCTGGCAACAAACGAACCATGTCAAACATGGTTTTGTATGCGCTGCAAACAACCTGCTCCGAAGAGTTTGGGTTACTTGTTATGCGGTGTTCAAATAACTGAAAAAGCACGGCTTCGGCCCGATTATTCTGTCGCCAGTCGGCCACGCGGGCCTTGTGAGCCAGTTGCTGGAGCAGCTGGAAGCCAGCTAGCTGTAAACTTTCCCTGTAGTCCGAAGTCAGTTGTAGTCCGAGGGGTTGAAAGGCACCAATAAATTCCTCTTCACTGATTTCAGGATAATCAAGTTGATCGGTTAGCCACACTAAGGCATCGCGATAAAGAGGACAAGTGTCCCACGGAGTTGTCAATCTTCTGTCGGTGGGAAGACGAGCAACACGAGCGATACAAAGTCGCAGAAACTGTATTGCCAAGGTTTCGGCAGGAGGGTGAGAAGATATGCGCGGTTGTAATAGGAGTAACTCTCGTATCGATCGCACTCCACAATGAAGCTGAAGCGATTTAAGCGAATGGGAGACCACTTCCTTTAAGTCTTCAGATGTGTACAACTTTGCTGAAGTTATACCGTTACCCAGGATGCCCCCGAGAATGATGAGCAGTTGGGTAGGAGGAGGACAGATATCAGCACCCTCTTGAAGCCAAATTTCGACTTTGTGGCACAAACGCATATAACATTCAACTCTAGCAGACCACACAGATTGTGGAGCAGACTCCTCACCATCAGCAAAATTCGCGGCATCCAATAGGGACTGCGCTTCTACAAGCACCTCCTCAAACATAAGTGGGACGTAAAAAGGGTCTGAAAACGAGAATTATATACGTAAGCATCAAAATCAAGTGGATGTGATCAAGTTCGTTCTAGCTCAGTCAATCAGCTGCTATCTGTGCACTGGGGTGTGGCGGATTAGATTACCTTGAGTTAAGTCAATAAAATAACAATACTAACATTCAAGGAAAATGAATACAAATTAAGATCGCCAAATAGAGGAACTGAGATATAGAAGAAATTTAAGAATCCTACCGACTTCGTGGCGGCGCCATAACCGGTGCAATACTTACCGCTGATGTGGTCTGTTCTAAGCGTTCATACAAGAAAATGACAAATACCAACGTGACGCAGCCTTGCAGTGAACTTTTTCGTGCTCCATTGCCACCTTGACTGTCATCATCATCATCATCATCATCATCATCATCATCATCATCATCATCATCATCATCATCATCATCATCATCATCATCATCATCATCATCATCATCATCATCATCATCATCATCATCATCATCATCATCATCATCATCATCATCATCATCATCATCATCATCATCATCATCATCATCATCATCATCATCATCATCATCATCATCATCATCATCATCATCATCATCATCATCATCATCATCATCATCATCATCATCATCATCATCATCATCATCATCATCATCATCATCATCATCATCATCATCATCATCATCATCATCATCATCATCATCATCATCATCATCATCATCATCATCATCATCATCATCATCATCATCATCATCATCATCATCATCATCATCATCATCATCATCATCATCATCATCATCATCATCATCATCATCATCATCATCATCATCATCATCATCATCATCATCATCATCATCATCATCATCATCATCATCATCATCATCATCATCATCATCATCATCATCATCATCATCATCATCATCATCATCATCATCATCATCATCATCATCATCATCATCATCATCATCATCATCATCATCATCATCATCATCATCTCATCATCATCATCATCATCATCATCATCATCATCATCATCATCATCATCATCATCATCATCATCATCATCATCATCATCATCATCATCATCATCATCATCATCATCATCATCATCATCATCATCATCATCATCATCATCATCATCATCATCATCATCATCATCATCATCATCATCATCATCATCATCATCATCATCATCATCATCATCATCATCATCATCATCATCATCATCATCATCATCATCATCATCATCATCATCATCATCATCATCATCATCATCATCATCATCATCATCATCATCATCATCATCATCATCATCATCATCATCATCATCATCATCATCATCATCATCATCATCATCATCATCATCATCATCATCATCATCATCATCATCATCATCATCATCATCATCATCATCATCATCATCATCATCATCATCATCATCATCATCATCATCATCATCATCATCATCATCATCATCATCATCATCATCATCATCATCATCATCATCATCATCATCATCATCATACATGTCAGCTAGAGATGGTAAAACACCTCCGCTATTGTACCGCAATACATAAAGGAAATACATACATACATACAATACATAAAGGAAAAATAAATACGACAGTTGAATACCAGCTGAGCTACCAGCAACGGATACGCATCGTTCCGGTAAGCTACTAGCCGGCTACTAGGCAAAAACAAAAATTTAATTACATTTTACCCTACGAAATAAGATCGTAGATGGAGGGGGAGGCTAAAGGGATGGGGAGGGACAAAGAAACTCACAGCAGGAACGCCATTGAGGTCGGCTCCTTGCCATATCAGCAAGTGTATCCAGCCAAACGTGTTCACCGTCTTTTGGACCCCAACCAGGGAGTCGTGAAGCTCCAACTGAGGCCAGCTCCGAAGTGAGGGCCTTCATTCCTCTGGACCAAGTCATCGCTTGGCCACCTCTCCTCTTCTTCCACCCACATCCCCGGTGAGCAAACAACGCACGTCGAGGGAGTCGGTGGGCTGGCATGCGTAACACGTGGCCCAGCCATCGGAGCCTGGTGAGTGAAATGACGGTGCTGAGCGGTTCATTCCCTTTTCCTAGGCCGCAAATAAGACGTCGAACACGCTCGTTACTCACGCGGTGTTCCCACCAGATGTGAGCCAAACTGCGAAGGCACCGATGGTCGAAGGTAAGTAGCCTCTTCATGTCCGCCGATCTTAGGGGCCAGGTTTCGCAACCGTACAGTAAGGTCGAACGTACCGCTGCATTGTACACTCTACCCTTCAGGGCGAGAGTAATGTCGTGCCGTCGCCATAGGTGGCGAAGGTTAGCAAAAGCATTCCGAGCTTTCGCTATGCGGTTCGTGATCTCGTCTTCGATCCTAACGGCGCTGATACAACTTCCCAGGTAGTTGAATTTCTGAACGACTTCTAGCTGATCCCCACCAAGGGTCAGCACAGGGGGCGAACCCTGCCAATCCTGGAGGAACGCTTTGCACTTCGGTGGTGCAAAGCAAAGCCCGAAGCGACTGACAGCCAGTGCTAATCTGTCCAGCGCGGCTTGACACGTCCGGGGGCTGTCACAGATGAGGGCAATGTCGTCTGCATACTCTAAGTCAAGAAGTCGTTCTCCTGGGAGTAGCTCCACACCTTCCAAGTCATGTCCTGTAAATGCAATCTTCATGACTTCGTCAATAGCGAAGTTGCATAGGAAAGGTGACAGCGGGCATCCTTGTCTCACACCGCTGGAGATATTGAAGGGTGGCGACAGCCTGCTGTAAGCCCTTACTCTGCCCGTGCTACGCGCATATAATGCTTGGATAATATTTACATATTTCTCGGGCACACCTTTCCTGAGTAGACACTTCCAAAGGGCACATCGATCAACCGAATCGAAGGCACCTTTGATGTCGAGGAACACGACTACGGTGGGCCGCCAATATGTGTGACGGTGCTCCAACAAACCTTGACTGTCCACCTGAATGTTCTACCCACTAGGGTGCAATATTGGCACGGATTGCATACCGCGTAGCCTGATAGCAGGCATGTGGTGTGCAAGCCCTAGGCAGTGTAGGTGATCCGAGTTCAACAAATATTCCTACGTCATGCCAAGCACCGAATGGTGAGAGTCAGTAACGGTCTAAGAGGAAATCGGTTCGCAGCACTCACTGTGTGAATGGATTGTAACTTGCTATCTCAATCTGGGCTAGGATTAAGTTTGTATTGTATCTCTGCTAGTCAGTCAATGGGACTGCATCTGCATGACAGATGTTACCTACTCGCCACACGTAATATTCACCAGTTTAGACAATCGAGGTTTCTAGCAAACGTGAGCAATGAGTCGCGGGGGTTTTCTCCCAGATGCTATCAGCTTCGTAATGTTAGCAGCACATAGCAGTGATATTACTGTGCTACACAGTAACAATCGTCGCGTAGTACAAGCATTGCTTAATCTGAGGCTCACTTGTACTGGCAGAAGAAAAACAGCAGGTCGACATACCATATAGACGCTTCGCCGCCACGTGGCCACCCACGGTCACGTAAGGGCTGGATATACCGTGAAATCATCAGCACCTATGCAGATTCGAGTCGGCGACTTCGGGATTACAACGCAGGTGTGTAATTTTTCGGTCACCGGCTTTCACAATTTATTTATGCAGACAGCCACCGTGACAAGAGTGGACTCTAGCATTGTGCAATGATTTGCGTGCCTCCGTGACCGATTTAGCTACGTTGCGTGACACTTTCCTAGTGCCTTCACAGCTGCTCATAGTGAACAGGTCAACAATTAGGGTTCAGATTAACTCAGCGTTACGATTCTCCTTGCAGGTTAAAGAGAGTTTGAAACTCCTATTCTCTTAAAACATAGCTATGGAAGACAATAAGTTTGCGGAGTACAAGCTCGCAGATCAATTGGCGCAGAGCACGAGCGCCATGGATTGTCTTTGACGGTGGAAGGGCATCATCCGGTGCTCAATAAGTTGCTACCGTCAGCCTAAAGACAGACCCCTAGTCAAATTGGTGCAAACCCGCTGACTCTCCCCTACGGCTGGTCGTCATCGAATGTGCGTAAAATACTGGCATTATGTCTATTCGTAGACTTTTGCAAATATATATATATATATATACTGCTCGAAAAAACAGCTGAATTGGTCCGCACCTTCAGTGGCTCTCTGCAGTCACATTTCAGAGCTGAACTTGTTCTCCACGGCCTTCGGGTCATACTGTTGAATCAAATAGCAACCCGAATTAAATCTCTCGGAATGAGAAAACAGTGTGCACCAACTGCCATATAGACTCCATCTCCAATACTTTTTCTCTCTAGTTGCAGCTTACTTCTCCCCCGCCTGTTAAGCAAGGGATTGTCATTGACTTCATAACTGGAACAGCTGGTGCATGTTATTGGGGAGTCTGCTCCTCAGAGAAAGTTGGCTTTCGGGTTTCATCAGAAACAAAAATCCGCATATTTCTTTCCTTTGGTGCCGCTTTCGCTTACTCTATCGTTTCCTTTTGCTCAGATGGTCAGCCACCTAGTCTATCGATCGTTCTTCAGAACCGCTATACTGAATAATGTAAATCGTTGCTTCCTCTGGTTGAGCGGCTGTCAGACGTTGCTCTGTCGGCTGGATTACCCTTTTCCTTCGATAGTCTGGTCATTGTGTGTTTTGGGCTGCAGTGAAGCGAGTGATCAAAGCGATTACCAGAAGGTATTCCGGTCCGTAACATTACGGCATATTCTCTTCGGTCGATGCTGCTTTAAAGCAGCTGGTGCGAACCCAGATAAAACTAATGGAGATGCTGGTCATGAAACCCGCCACTTCGGGATCGCCTTCTTCCCGCGCAAGATCACCGTCAGTGAATTAAGTCGTAAAGAACACCGTTGATTTCCAATATGATCCACAAGCTGAGGTGATGTTCGGATCACGGTACAAGCGGTATGAACTGGCCAACCGAGATGACGAAAGTAAAGCTTGTCTACTTCTGCGGAAATTGGGCCCAGCGGAACATATCCCTTAA